CGCACACCATTGTGTTGGTCAGAGGTTGGAGAAAGGGTCTTAGTGGGTCCAGAGATTGTTGAGGAGACTACTCAAAATGTTCAGGTAATTAAGTCTAACCTGAAAGCAGCCCAGGACAGGCAGAAGAGTTTAGCAGATCGGCATGCTACGGACAGAGCGTATGAGGTCGGAGATTGGGTATTTCTGAAGCTTTCACCGTGGAGAGGTGTTGTGAGGTTTGGGAAGAAAGGCAAGTTGAGCCCCAGGTACATCGGACCATACATGGTTACAGAGCGGGTTGGTGAGGTAGCTTACAGGTTGGAGTTACCTCCGGAGTTGGCTAGAGTGCATAACGTGTTTCACGTGTCCATGCTTCGACATTACGTTGCTGATCCATCTCATGTGATACCTCCACAGCCCTTGGAAATTAATCCAGACTTGACTTATGATGAGGAACCAGTGACGATACTAGATTGGAAGGAAAAGGTTCTGAGGAACAAGACGGTGAACTTAGTGAAAGTTTTGTGGAGGAATCATTCCGTCGAAGAAGCTACGTGGGAGACAGAAGATAGGATGAGGGATTTGTATCCTAGATTGTTCTTTGGTCACTAGGGGTTGTGTTTGGTTGTTTTGAATTTCGGGACGAAATTCTAATAAGGTGGGTAGGTTGTGACAGCCCGTCCCGAAAATATCAAAAGCGTACGTGTGAAAAGATTATTTTGCCCCTAGTTCGATTTCATTACGTTTATTGGTTGTTTTTGTGTTGTGTTGGCATGTTTTGGGCCACACACACACTCCCACACCTGCACACCCTTCTGTTCCTTTCCCTGTCTCTATCCCGAGCCCCTTTCCCTTCCCTTTCACCATATACGTACGAACACATACCCAAAACCATCAAAACACCCACAGATCGAAGGAACCAAGCACATATCGAGCTCGTGAGGCTCGTACGAGTCCAACCATACCATTTCCAGGTAAGAACTCCATCATTTTCACGTCGATTCAACAATGTCCGATTTGAGGTACTATTCATGCACACGTGATTTCTCACGTTTTAGGAAATTTGAAGCTTGTAGATAGCTTGGTGAGGTCCCAAGGAAGCTCGGAGTAGTTCGTTTGAAGGAATTGGACGTCGGGATCGTTGGTTTCGAAGTTGGCTGGAGTTGGATCGATTTTACAGGTGAGATTTCGTGGTTTTTAACCCTTGAAAGTTGTATGATTGTGTTCCTCTAGTCCTAGGCTTCAATTTGGTACCAAAATTATGAAAATTGGTTGAAAAACGAAGGAGATATCGAAGTTTAAAGTTTTCGCGATTTTCCGGCGCCAGAGGCTCGCCGGGGAAGAAGATGGAATATTCCGTCAAATCTGACGGAATATTCCTGACGACGTTGACGGAAATCGTTAGGGATAACGGAATATTCCGTCAAATCTGACGGAATATTCCTGACGCCGTCAGCGTGCCAGGCACGTGCCTGCGCGTGGCCGGCGCGTGGGGGGCGCGTGCGGCGGTGGAAAATTTTTCTAAAAATTTGGGGATGTTCGTGAGGTTGAGTAGATCACGTTGGTGTATTCATACACCCCATTTGAGCAATGTATGAGAAGTTATTTCGAAAGTTTGGTTATGTGCTTTAAAATTAACGTTTTTATAGTTATTTCGCATATAGGTGAGACATATCCCGAGGACGAGCGTGGTCACTCGAGGCAGGGGGGCTACGACCCTTCCACTTATCAGTGAGTGGGCTTTTGATTTTCCGTATATACCTATATACTTATATTTTCCCAGAAATTGATTTAAATGTTTATTAGTTATATGCCATGCATTATATTATCGTCATTATGCATTATTAGTTGCATTATTGGGCGTATATATTTATATACATATGCATATTTGGTGCTATGGACGCACAGGTAAGTGCCAGGTAAATGTTATTCATGTTTACTTTTAAATGGTGATTCGAGATACTTAGAGAGCTCATAACCTGCACCCCCGGTGTTAGTGCTCCCGCCCGGAGTAGGGCACAGTCCTTCACGTGTTGTTCACCTCCCGCACCACACGCTCAGCTTGGATCCAAGTTAGGTGCACAGTCCTGTCGTACAGACCACTCTAGGTGGTTCCGACTCGTAGGTGACCCGCGATTATTCGCACAGCCTTCACGTGATCGTAGCACTAGAGCGTTTATATGTATTACACCCAGGCCTGTCGTACAGACCACTTTAGGTGGTTCCGACTTGTGGGCAGGTTTAGTTATTGTGATTGAGATTTGAGCTCTAGATGCAGCCGTACAGGTCACATTAGGTGACTCCGGCTGCCAGATTATATATTATTGATGTGATTTATACCTGAGCACTTGCATTTCATTCTGAGGTTCCGACATGGCATATTCTTGAGCATGATTGGCATATCTATATATACGTACATATGTTTACTTTCTGGGAAGTATACAGGTTTTATGGCAAGGGGTTAGAATCTTGTTTTTGAAATGGTTTTCGAAAAGCTTTGTTTTTGCCCACTCACGCTTTTGTTTTGCGCCCCTCCAGGTTCTAGTTACCTAGCAGGTTCGGTGATTTCCCAGAGGGCTTTCCCGACATTTTTGACAGACGATCACCAGCGTAGGGCCACCTTCGGGTGTACTGTTGTCGCGTCATTTTAGTTTGGACTGCTTTAGGCTTTCTGCTCTGAACTTGTGTCTCACTTACGCTAGCACTTATTACTTTTATCTTATGTATGCTAGTTTTTATTTATTCGTACTTTTACGTTACTACTTTATTAGCTTCCGCACTGTGCACATGGCTACGTTACTTCCATGTGACGGCCAGCATGCCCTGATCTCGTTCGGGGTGTGTCAGTTTGGTATCAGAGCCTAACCCTGGCCGCGTGTGTGCCGACGAGGACGTCGGACCCCTAAGGGGGGTGGATTGTAACATCCCACATCGCCCAGGGGAGTGATCCTTAAATGTATATTCCCATCCCTACCTAGCACGAGGCCTTTTGGGAGCTCACTGGCTTCGGGTTCCGTAGGAACTCCGAAGTTAAGCGAGAAGGGGGCTAGAGCAATCCCATGATGGGTGACCCACTGGGAAGTTGCTCGTGAGTTCCCAAAAACAAAACCGTGAGGGAGTGATCGGGGCCCAAAGAAGACAATATCGTGCTACGGTGGTGGAGCGGGCCTGGGAAGTGATCCGCCCCGGGCCGGGATGTGACATCCTCCTCGAGAACGCCATTCAGAAAGGCTGATTTAATATCTAATTGCCACATTTTCCAACCCTTCTGTGTAGCTAGAGCAATGAGTGTCCTAATAGTATCTAACCTTGCCACTGGAGTAAAGGTTTCATTGAATTCAATCCCTGGTTTTTGTGTGTAGCCTTTGGTTACAAGCCTTGCCTTGTGCTTTTCAATGGAGCCATTAAGGTTCAGCTTAGTTTTATATATCCACTTCACTCCTACAATCGGTTTGCTACTTGGTTTGTCAACTAATTCCCAAGTGGAATTCTTTTCAATCATCAACATCTCTTTTGTCATAGCCTTTTTCCAAGCTTTATCTTTGACTGCCTCACTCAAATCTTTAGGTTCAATGATACTCATGTTGCATTGAGCATATGCATCACTCAAATTCTTTCATTTCTGTGGAGTATGATCATAAGTTCCAGAGATTGAAACTGGAGAATCAAGTGAATCAGGTTCCTATGATGTTTGCAGGTCTCTAGTTGTTTGTGATCTTAGAGGAGATTGCATAGACCGAGGTGAATCACTTGACTCTAGATCAAGTTTATATATCCTTGAGCTTCTTTCATCATTCCAAGGAATAGAAACTTGCACTAACTCATTAGTTTCCCAGTCCCACATTGCTTTCTCATCAAAGATTACACTTCTTGATAGTTCAACCTTTTGAGTTCTCAAGTTGAAAACTCTATATCCTTTTTCACAATTCCCATATCCAACAAATACTCTTTTCTCACCAGTTTCCTCCAATTTGTGTCTTTTCTGTGAAGGAATGTGAATGTAACACATAGAACCAAATATCTTTAAGTGTTTAACACCTGGTTTCCTTCCACTAATTGCCTCAAATGGAGTTATGTTGTTCAAAGCACTTGTTGGACAACGATTTTGCAAATACACAACTGTGTTCATAGCTTCAGCCCAAAACTTCAGGGGAATCTTCTTTTCAAACATCATTGTCTTAGCCATTTCAATCACAGTACGGTTCTTCCTTTCTACAACACCGTTTTGTTATGGAGAGTAGGCAACAGTCAATTGCCTTTCTAGTCCCATGCCTTCACAGAACTTTGAAAACTCTAGGGATTTATATTCTCCACCCCTATCACTTCTGAGTTTCTTAATTTGATAACCACTCTGTAGTTCAACCATGGATTTAAACGGTGTAAAAATGTTCAAGTCTTGTGATTTGTGCTGCAAAAAGAACACCCAACATATTCTAGTGTGATCATTAATAAAGGTAAGAAAGAATCTGTTTCCTCCAAGAGTAATGATCTGCATTAGACCACAGATATCAGAGTGTATCAATTCTAGAGGTTGTGAATATCTCCAAGCCTTTTCCTTATCGAATGGTTCTCTGTGACCCTTCCCTGTAGTACATCCAGAGCAAACATGCTCAGTGACTTGTAGTCTAGGTAAACCTTGCACCATTTCCTTGTCTTGCAGGAGCATCAAATTGATGTAGTTTAGATGTCCATATCTTTTATGCCACAACCAAAATGACTCTTCAACAGTTGCTCTATTAGCCATAAGAGGATTGACATATTCTAGAGTTAAGGGAAAACACATGTTTCCTTTCATTTGGACACTTGTAATCAAATCTTCCATCTGTCTATCCCCATAAATATCAACCATATAATCACCAAACACAAGCCAATATCCATGTTCTACCATTTGTCCTATACTCAGCAAATTTTCATCCAATCCAGGTACAATCATAACCTCTTTAATATATCTAGTTACACCCTTCATTTCTATAACCAAGGTACCTTTACCTATCGATTGCACTAAATCTCCAGTGCCCATTTTAACTCCACGCTTTAAACCAACATTCACCATAGTGTAGCTTATCACAATGTTTGCAGTTTCCCTTAGCTTGATCTAGTTTTCCTCCTTGATCATATTTGCCACCTTGATTGACAGAGTTCTGAGGTTTAGAATCCCATTTCTTATCCTTCGATTTCCAGTTCTTCTTTGGCTTAGAGTTACCAAAGGAGGGATTTGACTGAGTTCCCTTTAGATTTACACTCATACTACTGAAAGCTCTCTTAGTGGTATTTTTAGCATGCCTATCAAGGTGTTGTGAAAATCCCCTCAATGTAGCAATTTCTTCTTGCACCTCAATAGTTTCAATGTCCTTAGTTTGCTCAATCACATAGCAAACGAGGTCAAAGTCTTTGGTCAAGCTTATGAGCAATTTCTGAACTAAACACTTTCTAGATAAATCTTCCCCATAACTCTTCATCTGATTCACCAACTCGAGAAGACGAGTGAGATACACATACAAGGTTCCATCATCCTTCATCCTTGTGTACATGAAATCACGGCATAGACCTTGCAACTTGATAGATCTCACTTGCTTATCGCTATGAAATTCTTGATGTAGGATATCCCAAGCACCCTTTGAGGTCTCTTTGTTTGAGATTCTGGGGAAAATGTCATTCGAGACATCTCCTTGGATAATACCCAGTGCCTTAGCATCCTTCATTAGCTTTTCGTTCAGAGATCGTTTCTCTGATTCTGGTGACCCTTCTGCATTAACCTTCTTCCTTTTTGATTCTGAGATTTCAAGACCTTTTTCAACTAGATCCCAGATTCCATGTGATTTGAAAATAGTTCTCACTCGGATCTTCCAAGATTCATAGTTGTCACCATTGAATATTGGAGCTCGAAGATCACTACCACCTGACCTAGCCATTTGAGACTTGAATCGACGAACTGAGTCAGAAATTTCATGTTGGATTTCCGAGCACAGCACTCACAAATTCGACGCTCCAATTCCAGATATAACCTAGGCTCTGATACCATGTTGAGATTTCAGTAGTCTTTCATTCAAATACATAAGCCATTGTGATATGATACATGGCATTTACAAGGCATGTGAGCCATTGAAAATGAAAACTGATCTAAGACCTACACTTGGCATATGAGCACAAGTTGTCACAACAGAAAACAGTTATACAGTAGGACAAAGATAAATTGAATAAGTAAATCATTTACTAACAAGAAATTAGTAAGCAATTTACTTTTCAACATCCATTTCCTACACTCTTCTTCTATGATCCAATATATATATGTTTATAGATATAGAGTGTGTGTGTGTGTGTGTGTGTATATATATCTATATGTATTCATGTGTAATCAAAGAACATGAAAACTGAACATAACCCAGTAGACTAAAACCCTAAAATTTAATCAGAGTACTGAATCTCCAAAGCAAAATTTGAATCTAAACACGAAGGAGCAAAAACCTTTTAAAGCTGAAATTTGTGTGAGGTTTTTCTGCTACGTTGGTAATTGAAAAACTGGTGAGAAGATCTGTACAATGTTTGGGGTACAGGAATCCACCGGAAAAGCTGTTATCTTTGGGTTGGATTTGTGAGACGAGAAAGAACCATAAAGAGGCGGGCAGGGGAAATTTGGGAAATGAGGAATTTTTTAGTCATTAAAGATAATTAGTATTTTTAGGGTGCGTTTGTTGCACCAGACTATCTCGGACTGGACTAACTTTAGGGACTAAGTTGGACTGGCTTAGACTAGACTAAACTGGACTGATTTAGTGAAGCGTTTGGTGCAGTGTCGGACTAAGAAGTAGGATTCTAATATTATATTATTTAATCTATATCTATAATATTTTATTATTTACTTAATATATATTAATATTCTATTATTAATTTATCTTTTTCTTTTTTCTAGAATCATTATTTCCAGCTAACCTCTCTTTTTTTCCCATGCCGTCTCTCTCCCCTCTCCTCTGTGTATCCAAGTTTCTTCACTCCTTTTCTCCCTTTGTTGCACAGACTATTCGAATTAAAATCACAAAAAATGGAGACTTGCCTTCCCCCAAAAAACCCCAACCCCTCCCTCTCAAGCTTAGCATCACCAATTCAATGGCAGTCATGGTGAGTTTTCCTGTTCAGCTCATTCTCACTCTTCCCTTAGTTTTTCCTTTCAAATCCCTCTCTCTCTTCCCTTTGCCTCTTTTCCCATCCAACTTCACTTGTTCTTCCATGGGTGGGGATTGAAGTTACAGACGGCACAGGTGGGTGGGGCTGGGTATGGGCGTGGGCAGGGATTGGAGTTGCAGACGGCAAGGGGTGGGTGGAGGAAGACGAGATGGATGAACCCAACCATCGAAAATCGAGGTCGAGGTCGATGCCATCGAAAATTGAAGACAGAGATGGATGAACCATCCGTCGAAATCAAGGTCGAGGTCTATGCCGTAAAAAATTGGAGACTGAGATGGATGAACCCAACCATAAAAAATTTTCTATCTTCCAAGTTCCAGCTTTCATTGAAGCCCATGCCATAGAAAATCTAGGTCGATGAACCCAGGGCAGTGAAGCAGACGAAGGCAATAAAGGATGCAGCGAAAGTGGACGAAGGCGAGAGAGGATGATGGAAGGTCTTAGCTAAACCTATGGGTGTTGGGGTCTCTCACTAAGACCGGCTAGTGAAGCCGTTGGTGAAAGCGAGTCCCACCTAGTGCCATTAATGTGAGTCCCGCAAGCCACCAAACACAAGACTACAATCCAATCCAATCCAATCCAATCCAGTGAAGGCTAAGAAGGGTAAACAAACGCCCCCTTATATGACTATGAGTTTCAAATTTTGGTTCTTTTTCCAAATTTTCCCCAATATTTCTTTTTATTTCTGATACTTTACTTAATAGAAGTTGTCAGCTTCATAAACTCTTCCCTGGTTATTATGCTGGAAAAATATATATGTGACCTACAAATCCTGTTTGAAAAATTAGGATTGTCCCCGGTCTTATTTTTCAGAACAATGCAACATCTAAATCCTAATGAAGAAAATGAAGCAGCTAGCATTAGCAAGCTGCAAACTGAAGATATGCAATTACAACCAGGCCCATCTATTGAGGTAGATGACCGAAACTTATACATTGCAAAAGAGCAAGTTGATCAACTGTTTCATTCACCACGAATAAATCTCTAACAACCCAAATTTAAGGTCTTTTGTCTGGTAACGTACGATGGACTGACACCGGCAAACACAACGACAAGGAGGCCACCAAATAACAAATAATATTTGTTGTCTGATACTATTTGTGTAGTTATAGTAATATACGTTAATTGCAAGGATTGAGGAGGCACAGGACTGGTAGCAAGTGCTTCTCCAATCGGACCTTGAGGAGAGGGTTAATTTGTTTTGCTGATATTTCTGGGGTGGGGCTCTTCCTTTGTGGTTACTCCTTCTGTGGGATATTATGACAAGGATGAGTAAGACCCATGTCCTTTTGTAATGTTTTGTAATTTCTCCTCTTTTAATGAACTCCATTATTTTGCGATATAGAAACAAAATTCTTTAACGAACCAAAAGCTAGTTATTTTGGAGAAAAATCCACATATAAGTAGAGAGATTATGTAGCATGTATTTATTGGATGAATGATGAAAACGAAAAAAAAACAAAATTCTCTAACGATCCAAAAGCTAGTTATTTTGGAAATAAATTCTCATATAAGTAGAGATATTAAGTAGCAAGTATTTATTGGATGAATTATGCACTTTTGGAACACTTAGGAAGTATTTATTGGATGGATGATGCAACTAGGATTATGTATTGGTTACAAAAGTTTATCTCCCATTTCGAGTCTTAGTATTGTTAACTTAAATTGGGAACGATTTTCGCACAAGCATATGATTTCTCTGGTGTCCCTATAACCTATAAAAGAAAAGGCAAGTAAGACCTTGTCACACTTGGTGTGGTGAAGTACCTTCACGAGGGTGCTTCCGTCAAGGGTGGACAGACGAAGCAACCTGCAAGGTATAGAGTAAGTATCGAAGGGCACTGATGTAGTACTGGCCTAAGAGCCTCTGATTTTTAAATTAGCAAAGTATGTTTAAGGCACCATGTGGGTGAGTTTAGTGGTAGAAAAGTGTTGAAAATTAATTAACGATTACTCTTGGAAGGGAGCAGACTTTACCTTTTTATAGAGGCAAAGTTGGAGTTACTTTACTGAGATGGCCAATGTGGGATTAAATGAACTTAATGTGGTGTCGTCACTTGTCGCAATGTGATTGGTCTCCAAGTCATAGGAAAATCTCCCATTGGGTATGGGGATAGCCAATGAGCAGCTGCACATGGCAGTGCACCCACTTGTTTTGGGTCGGGTTGGCTTGTGTGCTTCGGAAAAAGTGCATCAGTAAGGTCCTTTTAGCGAGTTCATGATGCTTGACAGTTGACCGGTACTTGGTAGTTTCAGAGTCAATGTAATATGGTACAAAATACATGATTCATTATTATAGACTTGATGTTGAAGAATCAGCGGATGAGTTGTAGTTAGGGGTGAAATGCCTCGAACCCAAAACTAGTTGGTTTTCCCCGAAATGCGTTAAGGTGCAACAATTTATTGAACATCTAGGGGTAAGCACTGTTTGGGTGCGAGCCGCGAGAGTGGTACCAAATAGAGGAAAACTTTAAATGCTACATATGACCTCAAAATAACAGGGTTCAAGGTCGGCCAGTGAAACGATGGGGGATAAGCTTCATCGTTGAGAAGGAAATAACCCGAATCACTAGCTAAGGCTCCTAAATGGCTGCTCAATGGTAAAGGAGGTAGGGCTGCAGAGACAGCCATGAGGTTTGCCTAGAAATAGCCACCCTTGAATGAATGTGTAATAGCTCATTGATTGAGTGTTCTTGCGGCGAAGATGAACGGGGCTAAGTGATTTGCTGAAGCTATGGTACGTAAAACTGCATCGGTAGGGGAGCATTCCGCCTAGAAAAAAGCACCCGCGCGAGTAGCGCTAGACGATGCGGAAGTGAGAATGTCAGCTTGACTAATGCAAACATTGGTGAGAATCCAATGCCCCGAAAACCTAAGGGTTCCTCCATCATAAAAATTCAAAATTCTATTTGTAGTTTTCAATTTCAAAAATCATTTTGTATAACATCACCAAACAAGACCTAATTATCATCAATTCATGTTTTTAATTATTACGTACTTTTTCTTCAATTTCTGTTTAAATAAAAAAATAATAAAAAAGAGTTTAATAATTATGGCATGAAACAACTCTTGTATGTAGCTAGCTAGTTGCCATACTGATGCATATGACAAGACTATAATATTAACCCTTTTCAGATCATTAATTAATTGAAGGGTGTTTGTCGAACAAGGATGCTAATATATCTTTTCCACACCAGACAGCAGGAGACATGGATATTGACTCCAGAAGGCCTTATGCTCACGTAGAGTTAAGAGTAGAGGAAGAAACTACTACGTACAAAACTTACGTGGCATGCAGTCCATCACAGCAATGTCTTAGTAGAAAGAATCGACGTACGTACAGTACCCTCCATCGGTCTATAAAGACCCTTAGTCATCAAGACAATCTCCAAGCAGATTGAGAGAGAGCAATACATTAGTTGATCAGAATCAATTCGTACTACTGTCTGTACTAGCTCGCTTAGCGGAAAGCAGCAGTGGTGCTCTATAATTCCTATCGATGGCTGCACTTCCATGCAAGAACCTTGTTGTTGTGGCTTTCTTCTTGCTTTGTTTCATCTCTATCACAGCTCAAGGTACGTAAATTGTATACATCAAATATTTCTTAATAAAATTTTGTGTATAAATCTTATATCTCTTGGACAATTTGCTATATAGTACTATAAATATATTCAAGAATGTGTTGTAATTTGTTGCAGGAAGGAGTTTGGGAGTGGTTAGTAAGAGAGCTGGTGATGCTTATCAGAAGAATGAGGATGATCAAGCAGTAGTACAGCAGGATGAGAGTAATGATTTACTGGCTATGGATTACACTCCAGCAAGAAAAAAGCCTCCAATCCATAACTAAATTAATATAGCAGTTTTTCCAAAGAATGGTAAAAGGAGTATTAGTTTAGTCTCAAAAATGAGGAACTACAAAAAAGAAGAAAAAAAAAAAAAACAAAGTATAAGTCTAGTCTCTATCCATGAATAGGGTTTAGATAAAGGTTTTCTGTAGTTAAATACCAAGCTTGCTTTATTATATTCAGTCAATAGTTACAATTGTATCGTTATCTTGTTTTTCTTGTTCTTTTCGACACAAGCAAAATATGGTCCATGTATATCAGTACCTAGTTAAAAGCATTTGAATACATATGAGCACCACTAAATAAACACAACTTCTTTCAAATCTGAACAATATTAAGTTCCAAAAGAGGAAAAACATTTCCCAAGCTTTGCTAAACGTAAACAGACTCCTCAAAAGAGTCTGGGTCCGCGGTCTCCAAATTTTGTTTTCTAATGACATAGGATAGGTGTCATCAAGATCGAAATTTTTTGAATTTCGATCTTGTTGACACCTATCCTATATCATTAAACACACCCTTTAGGTCTCGTTTAGTTCACCAGAATAGTTAGAAGGGGAATGTGATTTGGACTCTTTCCTAAACTATAAATTCCATTTTAGCGTTCGGAATGAGGATATGGTGCACATAATGGGCCTCGATAAAAAAATTTCTGGGGATTTCAACCCGGTCGAAGGAAAAAAAAGCATCCCGCACCAAATAAAATTACGAAGTACTATCCTCAAAGATAAGGTCTAGAATTACATCAGGAGATTCCTCAAACCATATAAGAGGATATCGCAACTCAGACTCATCCATGCTAATCGGTGTGCCACCTTGTTAGTCTCCCGTCTACTAAATACGATCTTCCACTTGGGCATTGAATGAATAATCAAACGAGTGTCATTTAGAATATTTCCATAAGGCGACGAATCATCTTGACAATCACGTTGTAGGGCTGGCATGATGAGCAGCGCATCACCTTCAAAAACATGTCCTGAAGCTGCTTCTCCTTGACCAAAAGTGTCGTGTCTCGTGATGCCAAAGTCTCGGCCAACGGTGGGGAAGAGATAGCAATGTGCATTCACGCCATGGCTGCAACAAATTCCCCCCTCCCGTTTCCAATCACCACCCCAACACCACCGATTTCCCGCTGTTTGTCCCATATGCCACATCAAATTTACATTTTACCCATCCCAATTCCGGTTTCTTCCATTTAACGGACTTCTGCTGCTGCGTATTTCTGTTTTACCATGTCATTGTTGGAATTCCTTTAACCAAGTGCCCTGCATTTCAAGTCCATAGGTTCTAGTGCCTTACCTTGCTACAAAAATGAATTCTGCTCTTTCCAAATGCTCCAAATAAGAACAAGGCATAAGTCGAAATTGTCTCTTGATAAATCACTAGCAAGTTTTGCCACCCAGTCCATCATATGCTCCCGTGTATCCGTTCTACTACGTAACCCCAGCAGACTTATCAACCGAATTGACGTTGTTCAAGGACAGTTTCTCATCAAATGTACCAAGGTTTCGTCATCGCCATTGCAGACCATACACGCATCATCCATGGTGATTTTCTTTTTTCTCAAATTGTTCAGTGTTGGTAAGCATTCATACAGCAATGCCATACACAAATCTTCACTTTCTCAGGGACTCAAGCTCTCCATAAGGCCTTCCATAAGAATTTCCCCTCCATGGTGATCGATGAACCGCTACTCTCATGTTCATTGACATCTCCAACAAACCTTGATAAGTGATAGGCACTTTTCGTTGTGAACTTCTCATTCGGGTCCGCAGTCCAGAAGATATCAGGCGGTTTAAAAATGCTAAGAGGTATGCTTTGAATCAAACGAGCTTCCTCTTCCCAAAAAATACCATTTATAGCTTCCAATTTCCACGTGACTCCCCTTCCACTGAAATCAACTTTGCCACCGTAACAGACCGATCCATTCCTACAGGGATAGGACTAAGAACTTTGATAACGCTTTTCACCGGAGCCAAGAGGAAATCCATGTTAGGATAGTACCTGCCCTTGAAGATTTAGGAAGCAAGAGAGGACTGTTTGTGTATTAAGATCCTTAAAATCCAAGCAAAGCAAGTTGAAAGCATGAGGATCCTTAAATGGCCACCCTCACCCTTTGGTTTACATAAATTCTTCCAGCGAATCCAATGAATTGATCGCTTGCCTTGTTCTTTGCCCCACCAAATTTTTGCCACAATTTGATTCCACTCATCACCGGAGGTTTTTGGTAACAAAAAGGTTTGCATGGTATATAGTAGACAGCTTGCACCACAGTTTTTATCAAAATTTCTTTCCCCGCACTATTTTGGAGGCTTCCTTTCCAACCATTTAGTTTATTCCATAGTCTATCTTTTATGTAGGCAAACATTTCCTTTTTTCACTTTTCCCACATGGACTGGCAAGCTGAGGTAGCGACCACGGAAAATTCCTCGAAGCAATACCAAGGCAATCCGCCAAAAGCTGCCCATTAAACTTGGTCAAATTCCCATTGAAAGCTACAAAACTTTTCAAATAATTAATTGCCTGCCCCGAGACATCTTCAAAGATTTTCCACAAGTGTTTCACCTGCAATCATTCCTGAATTGTACTCTGAGCAAAAATGAAACGGTCATTTGCGAACAGTAAGTGGTTGGTGCTCGCTTGCACACTTTCACGCCTCTAATCCGCCCCTAGTTCTCCCAAGCATCAAATAGGACAGAAAACCCCTCCGCACATAACACAAACAGAAACAGAGATAGAGGATCACCTTGCTGAATACCACGCTTGGGATGAACGTATCCAACATGCTCACCATTTAAGTTAAAAGAATAGGATACGGTAGTTACACGCACCATCGCCAAATTGACATAACTTCCAAATGAGAACTAAAAGCATTGCAAACGAGAGTTTTGCATACCAATTCCTCGGACAAGCTTCTGGAAGGTAGACTTCAGCTATGACTTCGAGAAGAGGTCGGCAAGGTTATCTTGGGGTCGGATTTGCTTGACTTCAACCTTTTGATGCTTTGCTAATGTGATGTATTTGGCGTTGACAACGATGGATGAAAAACCACATGTACTTCAAATATGCTCACCAAGAGCTTTCTATGTTTTTGACATGTGGCGTAATAAGGTGCGGAGAGTCTTAGAATGGTTCAAAGATTTCACATATAAGGTCTATGTCATGGACCTCTAAGATATTATGCTACCCTAATAATAAAGACATAACCATTTGGAAACATGCCTTATGCTAGTTTGATAAGTAACATGTATATACAAAACAAACAAGGAAAACATCATTCCGAGGATCAAAGGTAGTTGGATTCGCTAGAGATGCATATAGATAAGCCCAAATCCGTAGTACCTTCAGGGTAGTAGAAATACGTCTTTAATGCCCCTTCAATGGCGGCGTGAAGGCATAGTGTTGCATCTTTACCAACAAATCAACAGTGAAGAAGGTGCCATTTCTAATGCAATGAGCTAAGTACAACAAAGCGCAAAGTTGAACTTAGATATGGAAATTCGGGTTTCACAACCTCTTCAAGAGTCTCATTTGAATCTAGTGTATGGATAGGTATACTAAAAAGGTAACACCTTAGGGGGTTAGCTCAAGCTCAAACTTATGGTCAAGACATAAACGAGTTTTCCCAATACTCTTCAACTCAAATTCCATCTTCAAGTACGAGGCAGTTATCTCAAGCTATTCCAGTGTCTTAGTGAGATCCATGTCATGAACATAAATTGCAACTCCAACAATTTGGAATATGACTTCTTAATTTAACACTGCAAGGGCATAGTTCATGTATATCCTAACTAATCAAACATTGACTTAGATGGGTATACCACATATGTCCAGATTGCTTTGATTCGTAAAGTGAACGCCTTATTTGAATTAAGAGGGTGTTTTGTGGTCTGCAACTATATGAACATATCCATGTAATTCTTCGGGAACTTATATGTAAATCTTCATATCAATACCCCCATGAGGAAATGTTAATCACATCTAGAATGATGCAATCAATCACAAGTCGTTTGAGAGAAACCTTTCCCATAAGGTATGCATTACATCACACTATTTCATTCATCTCATTACACTTCCTTTCCCACTTTTGACATATCAAGGTTACCTTGGGCAATGTTGGAACGACAGACCCAAACACACTTTGATAAGGAATCTAATTCAACATGAATTGTAATTTCACCAATCAGTTTTATATTATAACTGAACAATGGAACACGATTCAATATTGTCACCTTTCTTTTGTATCGGTAGCTACCATATAATTGAAACATCATCAATGATAAACGTATCCAATTCCATATCTCACCTAAACTAGTGTACTGGACCAAGAACTTTAAGCCCAATAGTAATCCGGATAAATCTCATGAGATGGAAATGATTGAGATAGCAATCAAGTGTGGATTCGTGTTAGGCCTTGTCCTTCCTCTTCAAGGGAAGTGGATCCTATGAACCGAGTGATTTGTTGTGCTGTCAGGCCAAGAACAGATTAATTGGCTATCCACCGATATACCATACCGTCAAACAAGGACGCCAAAAATTCTTTCAAGGGAGGCACATCTTTCGAGGATGTTAACTTGAGGTTTATTAGGTATGTTTATCCTTGTAAACATGTTTGTAGCTGGGATATGATTGCGTCACTTTAACTAGATCACAGGAATGCATCTAGAGCAACATTCTGATAACTAAAATACATTGCACATGCTTATAATACTTGTGCAGTATAGGGATCAAGATAAGACATAGTGGGCAATGTTAGGTCGTACCTGGTAACCAACTATAACGTAAAATATGTTGGGTGGTGGGTCTCAAATGGACTAACATAGTTGCATACGAGAGTGCATAGCCTTAGTAAGAAACCAAAAGCTTGGTGCGTTCACCAAAGTTCAGGTGATCAATTTAATTGCGCTTTATGACCCATATGCCAGTCTTTTAGACTTTATGGGATAATTATGGTGGTGAACCTTTAAAGTAAAATCAGCCAGAAGGTTAGCAACAATGTGCATGGACAAACGTGTGACTATTATGATGATACATCAACCAAAACCATAAGTATTTACATGGTCTACATTTTGGTTGGATTAGTTCACAACTATTCCCTAAAATCCACTGTTAAAATAGGGTAATTTAGTATCTTTACAAGGGATGATATAGAAACCCAATTTCCCTAAGAGCAGGCTTGGCAAAGTGTGCTTGCAGGCACAAGATCCTTACTCCAGTTAATGAGATGTGTCATATAATACGTGGTATCATTGTTTGACCTAAGTGTCCCAAACGGTTGTGTCAAAGAAAGTAAAATGCTCATATCACTTGGCTCTAGGGTAATCACGTGTGGGCATATCCCAGTTGGGTGGCGACCTATTGGCCCTAAAACATAACTTTAGGCTTCATATTTTGGTGGTGGTGAAAAGATATTACACTATATTTTCTTCAATGGTTTCAATCATAATCATTGTTCTCTTGAATATCCTTAAGACTCAAAAACGTTCTTTCAGAATGGGGAGAATATAAAGCCTCTGTAATAGTAATTCACTATCATTCATACAATAATGAGTGACATCAAGGCCCTTAATCTAGTTGGATTGACCTGTATTCGTTATTAGAAAGGTGATTTAGGTATGAAGTTAGTTTGCATAGTAGCACATTCATCTAGATAACTAACATTTCCTACATTTATACCTAATCACGTGTTAATTGAATCTGATCACATGTATAAGAAACATGAATCAATTAACTCATACTTAAGGACAATATCCATAAGGTTATCCAGAACTAAAACAATCACTAAACTTCAATCCGGGAACATAGGAAATTGTTCACAAATTAAACCAATGTCTACTAAGGGGATGCAATCAACATGGCCCTTCCATGTAAAATTCTGCTTTTCTAAATATTTTAGGTGGAGCAAAATTAATCTCACATATTGAATATGGGAATGGTACTCATCAACAACATTGATAAGGGCACAAACAAGTACATAAAAAATGATTTATTCCATCACAACGGAAATAGATAATGTAGGGTTGAGATTTGGGAATATTGTCTCTTATTCTTGAAGTTTTGATCTTATGTGCCAACGATCACACTTCTAGCCGTGATGCCACCCCTTGGTAGACCTTAATTCTACCACTATTCAAGAGCTTAGGTTTGGTACCCATGTCGCCACCCCCCTATACCAATCTTAGAGATTTGGGCTTCATGAAATACATAGCATTTGCTTCGGCCAAATTGAGTGTTTTCAAGTTAGTAGGGCGCAATTGATGAGATATCGTCAGGAAAATGTTGTGCTATTTAGTGGGCAACATGGTAGGAATCAAATCCAAGTATTTTCACTCTCTATGTTGCTACTTCAACAGCATGTTAGAGGCATAGATGGATGAGCAAAATCTTCTCCAATCGAAATTCAATCAGATTCTATAAACTTTAGAAGTGTACCTATTCACAAACGTAAACGTTTCAATCATGGCTTGCTTCAGGCAAGAGATCATCTTTCATGATTGAAATGGTCCGTAAAGGCAAGTAAAAGAGATGTGGAATCCTCTTCAGTGAGGTATTTCCATTTGTAGTGCGTCAGGCATATATTTTCGAATGAAAATCATGGTAGAGGCTTATTTAGCTCTTTCACGCAATTGTTGGCTTCAATGGTTTCGCAGCTTTTCGTAATCAAGCGAAGTTTCATGTCTTGTATGATTGTATCCACATGAAGTAGTTTATGTCATAAACTTCCAAATTAGTGAAATTGAACGTGTAACGGTTTGACACTTCGCTGAATTGGGGAAACAAGATTGTGGTTGGTGTTAAAAGAAATAAAACCTCCATAAGTATTAGAGTTAGAACATTTGGGTTCTAAGACATGGTTTTGATTAAACGGATTAATCATGGAGAACTTCAGGTCTCTACATGAGTGGTGAGTTTTAGGAAACTTCAAGTTTATATGGCACTTTTTTCGAAACTTCAGGTTCAGGTGTAAAAGTATGAACTTCAGGTTCATAATAGTTGCAAATAAAGACAATTTATAGAAGATAATATATATATATATAAAGCATTAAAAACAACAGAACTTTAACGAAAAACTCCCGGTATTGTTCACTTTAACGAAAAACTACATTTTTACACTAAAAAGTCAATCATGGTACTATTCACTTTACCCTTTATTTTGTCCTTATCATTAAAACTCAAAGTTTTTAAGCTCATTTTTATTAGTTTTCCTTAAAAACAATTGTAGTGAGGTCAATAATTTCGGGCCCTTTTGTGTGAAAGTTTAAGGAACGGCCCAGAAACGTGGAGCTTCAAGTCCAAAAATAAATAGATGGGTTGACAGAAGTCAGGCCCAAATATTAAGCTCAAAAAGGAAAAGTGAAAGCTAAATCTCGATAAATAGATTTAGAGTTTCATAGAGTAAATAGCGTCCAAAAGAAAATTGATTGATTGAGTTAACAGCCCAAAAAACAATTAGGAGCCCAAACTAGGTTGAAGAGAAAAACAAAACAGTTAAAAAAAAGGCCTAAACAGGGGCAAAAAAAACAAGAGTCCAAGACCAAAGCTGGCCTTGGTTGGATTCGGGCCGAGCGCAGGGAAGGCCCAATAGAATGCGGGTTCAAGTCGAGGACGAGCCCAATGCCAGTGGGTTCGAGTTTCGCCCGAAACATACAACGGCGAGCGTCGTGTGGAGTAAGGTTCGAACGAGAACCTCGAAGAACGCGACAGTGGAGATGGAATCCTCAACGTCAGGTCTCGGTGTTGATGGGATGGCGGCTGCAGGCGTCGAAGGCTGGTGACGTCTTGAAAGACGTCGACAAACTAAAATTGTGACTGGGGGACCACTTCCAGTCGTCGCGAGTGGTATTCACCAGGAAACGTCGAAATGTCGGTGGGGGTTCGACTTCAGGCAATCCCTAGGCTGGGTGACAGAGACTACAAAAAACGACGTCGTTTCTATATCATAGGTCAAGAGCGGCTCGGCTTGAGCTGCTAGAGCGTGGCTTAGCGCATGGCACAGCCCGGCTTGGAAAAAATTAGGGCTTTTTTTTCTTTTTTTCTTTTCCTTTTTCTTTGCTTATTCACACATATTCAATTCACCACAATTATAACAGCAATAATGGTCGAAAATTAGGGTTCATGCTTAATGATGAATGTTTCATGCAAATCAACTTGAAATATATAAGTTAAATCGTGTTTTAGAATAACCTAGATTAGGATAATGAATCTTGTGAACAAGTTTTGTACTAGAAAAAAATTTCAGTTGCTTGGCGCAACGATAGAAGCATGCTGACAACGTGTTATGACCTATTTTACGAAAAAGAGAGATGACAAATGGCTTGAGGAATTCTCTGTCTTATTCCTCATGCTTTGTATCTTTATTTACTAAAGAATACAATTACATTCATGAGCTATTTAAAAGACATTGTAAAATCCTACAGATAATCTACTTGGATTTACTAATTTAGGATTTTTGACATCTCAATTTTGCATCTTAGCATCGAAGATGCTCTCAGATATGAGATTAAAATCGAAATCAAAACCCTAAACAATAGTGAGCGACGTGAAAGAGAGTATCAATTCATCGGTTTGGGGCAAAGCTTTTGTTCAAGCTCAATAAAGCTAAATTGATAAATTTAGGCCTAAACAAGGCGCTGCGTGATTAAGAAAACGCAGCCGCAGAAGAAACAGAAAGCCGGAGCTCAATCAAATGTCCAAAATACCCGCCCGACCTATGATCCTTCACTAAAACGCAGGACGGCAGAGAATGTCAATATGCTTTTTATCGTTACCATTATTGATTTTTCGTTTTCTATTCTTAATCTCACAGGTATTGTACATTTTCAACAATTCCTTTCGTGACAATTTCAAAACTAACCTTCGTTCTTCAGCCTTCGTATTTTTCGAAGAAAAGAAAGCTAGCTTCTGCAGCAAGAACATCTTCCTCTGAAACCCTACACACTTCTGAATCTGAAACAGAATACCAGCACCAAGCAGCAGCGTCGACCTCAGACTCGTCACAAGGTTCTTCACATAAATCAGCTCTCACGCTTCTGTAAACGGTGTAGTGCCCACTTCCAGCTCTTCCAAAGTGCTCCACAACGGCAACAAGACGGTAGAGGCAAGTACTTGAAGGAACCACTTTGCAACTCTCAGTCAACTGCAATAGGTATGCACACATTAATAATCAACCTAAAAGCTTTTATTCATCAAACGCCACAAAAAAGATCTAAAAAATGAAAAACAAATACAAGTTTTAGATGCAAAAAAGTGTTCTTTTATAAGGAAAAGCAAACACAAATTATTTTCAAATCAATCTATATGCAAAAGCAGCAAAGTTTAAGTGCCTGATCTTCTGAGGGCATGTTCATGTCTGCATGCATGGTTTTCGAAAACCCTGCTGCTTCGGAAAATCTGGATTCTGCTGGTACATCTTTTGCATTTGCAGTGAATTGAGATACATCTGAAGCTGATTCTTCTGGGTAGATACTTCCTCTCGTTAATCCATAGATATGATTCAGCTTTATCTGATCATACTGCATATTGAACTGATTGGGAAAAGTTCTTGAGTTTCTATTTTGTCGCTGAACTTCCCCTCTTTTCATGTTTTCTTCCAAACTCTTTACTCCCACATCACTCGTCGTGAATCTCAAAAGGTCCAAAACCAACGGAAAAGAAATATGGCCCTACAATCATCAATACAGAATCGCACCACTATGACAAATATTTTAAACCAATTTACCCAGGAAATACATTCTCATGGATTGAGTAAAGTAAAGCACGAAATTTCAAACACCTGAAGTTTTACTAGTTCTCCAAACATATTGATTGACACACGCTTTAGATGAACGCATAGAATCTGCAAGGACAAATCAGACCAATAGCAATTCTTAGAGATTGAATTATATACCTAAAGACTTCTCAGGAAAATGAAGATGTCAAGATGCGCCAATGAAATACACGTGAGAGAACCATAACAAGGGTGCAGTATGCAAAATATGAATAAAATTTACAAGAAACCTGTAGATCCTTTGCAACCAGATTTAGCGATGTTAGTCATATAAAGGTAGAAGAGAACCATAGCAAATAAGCTAATTTGTCCCGTTGAACAATTTTTAGCCTTGTTGGCTCAATGTCCAGATGAGACTTAACTTTTCCAACACAACCAAATCTACCCTAGAAATTGCATCTTTTGTATCACTATTTTCAGCAGATTTTATGAAAATAATAGAAGAATAAGAGAACAAACCTTTGGGCAACGAGCAATACTTATTTGCTTTAGAGTATATGAAAATTTATTTGACCAAGGTAGCTTATGTAGATGAATATGTCTTTGACAGTCACAGGAATCTTGCTCAGGGCATCTCTTAATCTTTTCAATCTCTTCCTGAAAAACAATCATATGAGTGGAGCAAAAAGCATAATGTTTACAGAGGGCCACAGAAGGAGAAATGCGACAATTTTTTTTTTTTTTTTGAAAATGACTATCAAAGTCCCTAAAAGAGCATGTAGGACAGAAATTAGGTTATTTCACATGCAATGAAACTAAATGAAGTGACAAGCAATCAAGAAAAGTGATTGGAGAATTTGTGATTCACATGTTAAAAGATTATTTGCTGCTGCCATATCCCGAAAGTGGATGTTTTGGATTTTTCAAGCTGTTCGGATTGACACAACTTTGATTTGGCATGTCTGTTTTGAGCCCGCAATCTGGATTCAAAAAGAACGATAAGATCTACAAGACTTCTTGTTTCACAAGAAGCCCAGTCAGAATTTGGCCGGACCCCAGCATTTAATTTCCAAAAATGGGATCTTAATATTTTAGGATCTTGTTAATATTTTGTAATTTGTTTAATTCCCTTCTTATTTGGTTTCCAATGGTTTCTAGGTTAATAACATTACAAATAGGTCATCTTGGCCTTAGGCTTGGAACCTTATTCATTTTATCAATCAAATTGGAGTTTATTCTCTCTTTCTTCTTAGAGAATTCTCGGGTTTGCTAGTTTTTTTTTTTTCTAGCCAAGGAATAACGTTTGAGCTTCCTTGTTATATCCGCTGTGTCAAGTCTGGCGACACATCCAAGCACAAGTGATTTAATTTTAGTTTCCTGGTGATGCAAAGAATTTATGGAATTTAATAAATAGTCAAGGAGTGTCAAGTCTGGCGACACATCCAACCCTAATTCTGCTACATTCATCATGTGGAAAATAAGGCTGTCAAGTTGCATATATTTATAATGCGAATAAAGGATTTACCTCATTTACTCCCATAGAAAATAAATACTTGACTGCCGCAATGTGCCAACAATGGTTACAGTGATAATTCTCAACTTGTTCAGCGGCAGTGAACTGCTCCAGGCAATTCTCTAAGGTGCATCCAACCATCTAACAATGTACAAAAACGAAATTCATTAAGAACAAAAAGGAAAGGTAAAAGAGGAGACATTTTAGTTTAGAAGGAAGCAATCATATGAGCAGAATTCAAGTGAAAGGCTCAAACATACATAATATCAAAGAGTGAATACTTCAGTACACATACAATTGTGGCACCACCATTAAGGACTGGTGAAAGAGGCAAGCTGTGAAAAGATTCGAAGTTCAATGATATCTGCAAAATAAAGAGGCAAACTCTGAACTGTCCACAATTGAATGATACCGTTAAAATAAAAAGAGAACCATGACTGAAGACTAGAACAATGGCAAGTGAAGGTAGGGTATTGTCAACAAGTAACTTTATTTATAAGATTCTACATCTAAAACACAAAATTGCATCCTACTAGGTTGACTAAGACTGAAGGATGTAAAACTCGAAAGAATTTAAGGAACATTAGGCATGTGAAATTGACAAAAGTTCAAAGAAATTGATTTTGGAAACAGAAACAGTAGCACACCTACTAATCGCAAGAGTTACAAAACAAAAAGGTGCAAATAAGTATACATGAGATCAAGTATAACTCAAATAAGTGCATAGTGTTCCTTCAGAAATTCATGTGAACCTGTGTTGAGCAACTTCGACACGTGAGGATGCTACCGAGAATTCCATCAAATGGCCCAAGGTAGTGTTGCTGCCATCTTGCCTGCTCACTCTGGTTCTCCATTCTCGTTGGAGTAATAATCCTACAATTAGAGGCAAGGAGTTCTGCTAAAGAACATTGATTTGGAAGATAACAATCTGAAAATTCTTCTCTTAAAGAGGACAGAAGATGAAGAAATGCTTCTGCTGCATCCTACGTGTACAAAATATTACTTATTAGATATTCAATTTTAATTGCTCAAGTTGTTAAGGTATTTAGAAGACAGAGTAGCACCTGCTGGCTTGTAAGATCGAAATTCTGAATGTAAGCTTCCATCGCAAGCATCAATTTTCGCGGACTTAATACAACTCTTCCTCCACCAACCACGCTTAGATCTGCAGAAACATTATAAATTAGTTTGGAACACCTAATAGAATTATAGAAAAGCCAGAAAGTTATATTTTCTTAAGACGTGATGATATGATGTCATTTGATGTCTTACTGAACCAAGCACCATACCTAAAGAGCATTCCAGTATACATGTTAACTCAAACACACTGCAAGCGATTCCAATAGGTTTGATTTTGATACTAACCTTCTAACAAAGCTGACAATGCTATCGTAAGAGGAAAGCCATCAACCCGATCCTGAAATGCTGAGAACTCATATTCCTCTAAGACATTCTGGAGAAACGGTTGAAAGTATGAACAGCTAGCCAGAGCCTGAAGATTACAAAATCCAACAGTTAGTCACACAAACCATTCTAATCTATAAAACATTTAAGCGTAATCGAATTCTAAATGGAATAAACACATATGGAATCAACTTCCATCTTCAAACACTTATAGGTGAACAAACACGAATGCGTACATATACACATGAACAACAACACATATGATGTTGTCTCTTATATTTTAAGACATGAGTTAGCCTGATAGTGTGAGTGAACGTGCGTCCTCGTTCAAGAACTACGGTCTTTGGCTCTGGAACTGAACCATTTCCTGAAAAAAATAAATGATATGATTCAACCTCAAACCCATTGGAATGTAGTGGATAACAGCGGGGCCTGAGAATTGAACCCCTTCCCAAACTGTACAAGCTTCTTCCATAGCATACGGCTTTCTGGATGTAGATGATGATCCCAAGTACCGGGATCAATCGAAAGTTTGATTCTATCAAAAATATCCAATTCTAATCAATACATCGGTCAATGAAACCCAAGGAATGCTCAACAATTGGGAATACCTGTAAAATAACATTTAGGAAACAATTATTTCCAAGATTTTGGAGGCCGGGTACCAAAGGCAGCTGCTTGGGAGAAGAAGTCTGAGTGTTTGGCAGCCACTCTAAGTGTAAGGTGTTTAGGATGCCGACTTTCGAGCCTTTGAGAGCAAGAACAAAGCCACCAGCAATACCCAGAAGAGCAGCCACAGATGAAATCAAGCTTGAACCAGAAATAATCTTCAACCCTCGTTGGAATTGCCCAATCAAACACTTCAAATTTACCTCCCGTTCAAACTTCATCCTATTTCTATCTTACCAAATACCACAAGGATTTACCGGTTTGCCGTCAAACCCTGCGACAAAACAATTGAAGAAACACCGGAAACACTGTTTCGCTCTCCCTGCGTGAAGGAAAATGTTTTTGATAGGCTCTCACAACTAAACAAACGTCCTCCACCTTTTCATGGTTATTATTGTCTTCGTAAACAGTAATCGGTACTGTTCGACCCAAAAAATAACAGTAAACACTTTGTAAATGAATTGTTTGGGTAATTGACATTAAAAAATTCATTTGTTTTTAATTAATAAAAGTGTTGTACGTCTATTTAACTTAAGAGTTATAGAGAACGGTGTAGCAAAGTGTAGAGAGATTCTGGAGAATTTTAAGATACAATTTATGACCTCATTGTGTTTTTATTAGTAAGTATAGCTAGTAAATAGGAATTCTAAAGATAAGTATGATTACTAGATTATTACAATGTCTAATCCTAATTAGAATTGCAACACTTTCCCTTGAGTGTGTAAATACTCAAGTCTTCAAGTAATGCAGTTAGTTCAGTTGATGAAGTCGTCAGCATAATGAGCGAATATGAGTCTCAAATCAATGAAATAATGCATAAAAGGGTAAACATCACAAAACCTCGCTATGGTGAAATCCAGTATGGGAGAGAATCCCATAGACTGAGGAGAAATGTGAGAAGTCTGCATTAAATCAAAACTATACGTCTTCTGGATGCAAATGCAAAGCAAACCAATCTGTGACGGGTGCCTTGTTAAAACCTAGTCGGGTAACAAAAACTCAGTGGGAAAAATGCTCATAATCGTAGGGAAAAAAAGTACATTAATGTCAAGTGAGTATACTTTTGTATACTCCCTATAAGTTTGACAAAACTTCCAGATGAGAACTACAAGCATTGTAAATGAATAGTTATGCATACCAATTTCTTAGACAACTTATGGAAGGTAGACTTCGGCAGTGACGTCGTGAAGAGGTCAGCAAGGTTGTCTAGGATTGAATTGCTTGTCTTCAATCTACTAACACTTTGTTGATGTGATGTAGACACAATATGCTTAGCGTTCACTTTATTGGTGCATCATGTCTTGGTCTGGTCGATACATATGGTATAGTCTTTATAGATGGTTGTTGGGACTCTAACGATGGATGAAAAACTACATGTACTTTGAATATGCTCAAGAAGAGCTCTCAACCATGGCTCACATGTGGCGTAGTTAAGTGTGGTAAGTCTTAGAACGATTCGAAGATTTCACAACTAAGGTCTATATGATGGACCTTTAAGATATTGCGTTATTCCTAATGATAAAGACATAACCATTTGGGAATGTGCCTTGTACGAATTTGATAAACAACTAGCATCAACATAACAAACAAAGGAAACATCATTCTAAGGATTAGGGGGTTAGATTCGCTCGGGATGCGTACGGATAAGCCCAAATCTGTAGTACCTTCAGGGTAACAAAAAAAACGTCTTTAATGCCAATTCAGTGGCTGCATGTAGGCCCAATGTTGCATCTTTACCAATAAATTAATAATGAATGAGATGTGTGGATGCAAATTTCTACTTTCTTCTCCTTTGACGAAAATGCATCTACAAAATAATAACACTCAAGATCAAGGCTAAGAGCTTCATGCAGCTGCGATGAATGGGGGCACTTTGGCCGAAGAATCTTCGATGCCAAAATTAGAATTTGAGAGAGGAAGTGTTTAGAGAATTTTAGGGAGAGAATCAACTTGCATTTTGGTGTGAAGATGGGGCTATAAATGGGAGTGTGGCCAGCCCTGTTTGGAGAAATAAGGACTGGCCACTTATGGTGGTATTTTTTAATATAATTGCAAGATATTATGTTAATAATATCTTGCAATTAATTTGTTAATTAATCCCAATTTGAAAAGAATAATTGGTAGTTATCTTGTGGGTGAGGATTTGATGAGGAATGATGAGAGGGTTTTGAATAAATACCATTTTGATCACCTTTGACCTTGATTGAGCCGTTATTGTCCGCTACATGCGCGTGGGAATCTTGATGTGCCTCAAGGTTAATTTTGTCTTTTTCACCCAACAGTCCACATGTCGCCTCCACAATTTTCTTGATTATTTTTGGCTCCACAAGTGCCCCCACATCTGTTAGGCTGCTCGTAGGAAAGGGCAGCAGGTGTAGAGATCTTCTCTTTTTTTTTGGGTAATTACACTTTCATACCTTAGGTTTGGGGTCTATTTCAATTTCTTACAACATCTTCAAAACATTTCACTTTCATACCTTAAGTACTATTTTATTTCAAAATAATGCATCTGTTATGTTTTCCATCCATTGATCCGTTAAGTGCTGATGTGGCTGCCACATATGTACCACGTGGCTGCCAAATGTGTGCCATATGGGAAAAAAAAATATATTTTTTAAAAACCTGAATTAATAAAAAAAAAAAAAAAAAAAACTTGAAAACACGGAAACCCACCCTACCCCACAGCCCATCCCCATCCCTCTTCTCATTCCCAAGCATCCCAACCACCTCTCTCTCCTCCACTCTCTTCACCTCCCTTCCCATCCAAAAACCCATCCCATCCTACCCTACCCTCACCTCCCCCACTGGATGAGAGAGCCTTGCTGGACGGCGCAGATACACACCCGCATCCCTCCTTTGCAACTGAGCCAAACCCGTTTTCTAAGAGTTTGATCTCAGATCTCTGCAGCCTATCGACCCTAAGGCCACCGGCGTACGCCTCTGAACTTTTTTTGGCGTGATGCATCCATTGCTGATGACTTCAACCCGGTTCGCTTTACGGGTTTCAGGTCTTTCAGGGCTGAAGTGAAGTGAGTAAGGTTTTCAATTTGTAGAAGTTGAGACAGAGAGACAAGGAGAGGGTAAAAGTGAGAAGCTTTTTGGAGTGGAATGAAGAAGAAAGAGCAAAAGAGAAAAGGAAGGAACTGCAAAGGGGAATGAGGGTGAAGTCGTGGGGGAGACGTCGAGGTGGGTTGTACGGTGGGGGGGTGCGGGGTTTTGGCTCAGGTGGGTCGCCGGGAGGAAGGGGGAAAACGAACTGGGCGGGTGTGGGTGGGGGGAAAGGGTTCTGGGTTTGTGGGGGGTGGTTGCGGGGAGATAGGATGGGTTTCAAGTTTTTTTATTTTTTTTAATTTAGGTTTTTTTTTTAAAAAAAATTTTTTTTTTTGCCACATGACCTACATTTGGCAGCCACGTGGCACACATGTGGCAGCCACGTGGCACACATGTGGCAGTCACGTGGCACACATGTGGCAGCCACATCAACACTTAACGAATCAATGGATGAAAAATGTAACGGATGTATTATTTTGAAATAAAATAGTACTTAAGGTATCAAAGTGAAATGTTTTGAAGATGTTGTAAGAAATTGAAATAGACCCCAAACCTGAGGTATGAAAGTGTAATTTACCCTTTTTTTTAGGAAACATAGGATCGTTTCCTCTTTCGATGTAGATTCCCTCTTTAATTGGAAATTAGATCCTTCTAGGAAAGGAAAATAAATTACTTCTAAAGTCTATTTAAGTCTACCTTAAGTAGATGGTTAAATCAACTTCAGAGAGCAATTTATTCTACCCTACAAGATAGGGAAAGCTAGAGTATATTTGTTCCCCTCCCCTAGCAATCTTCTACATTTGCCTGTGTAAAGGACCGTCTTTTGTTACTTTCTTCGTCTTCACGCCGCACCAAGGTAAGAAACATTTAATTTTTCCTTATCTTCGTAATTTTTTAGAGCCTCGGAGCTTGAAATTTGGCTCGACGAGGGTCGAGATGTGAAAAATGGCTTGGGCCACAACACTATTGCCGTGGGTAGCATGGTGTGGTGGTGGCTCGGCTTGCGCCGAGGGCTAGCGGTGCGAGCTTAAGGCTCGGCGCGTGGCTGGCTTAGGCTAAGATGTTGGGGCACTAGACTGGACCTGGCACGGGCCAAGTTGGTGATGGACTGGGTCGAGGAGGAGTGGGCCTCCTTTTTGCTTTTTTTTTTTTAATTTTTATTTTGTTGGGTCTTTGAGTAAGGTGGGCTATTTCAAGGCTGTTCATTTCAAAATTAATTCTGATTACTCATTCAGAGACTTCCTTGAAGCATGTAGCCATGCAATTCTGTCGGGGGTACGTGTGAAGCGTGCCAAGGAAAGTAGCAACCGTGAGCCATGTAGTGAGGCTCGAAGAGCCATCAAGTTTCACCCCTACTACTTCGTGTTGGGATTTACTTTTGCCATGCCACGTTTCTTCCAAGAAGTGCTTTGTTCCATGAAGTGTGCCCCCACTCAATGCTCTCCAAACGCGGTCTGTGTGATGGTGGGATTCATCAATCTAAGTCAATTCTTCGACTTAATTTGACTGTCAACGAATTTTGGTACTTCTTTGACATAGGCCACATTGAAGGAGTCGGGCAGCTGTGATCTCGCCATAGGCTCTTTGATCATTCGAGGAAGGGAGATCATGACTAGGCTAATGAGACTTTGGATATAAGTGGAGAAGGAGAGTCTGATTCTTCCCTTGAGCTACGTGTTACGACGATTTTAATCTCCGATAAGTAGACTACTTAGTCCCTAGGTTGCTTTGTACTTTTGCTAAGCTGCTTTCTGATTTACTGATTGTCCTCTTCTACTCTTGTAGATTTGAAATTTGACTCAATTCCAAGACTTCTCTAGATATGAAGAAGGTGTATGTTGCACTAGGTATCCTTTCCTAGTACTGTGAGTGGCATTGGCTACTTAGTCCTCTTCGTCGAAAGAAAGGTGAGCTGCCCTCGAGAGAGGAGATAAAGCAAATCAAGGCAAAGACATTGACTTGTCCAATCGCTGTCGTGAAGCCTACTGCGAATAAAGGTGGAAAAAAGAGATTTTCCCTTCTTGCTCAAGAGAT